CTCTTCTGGCTGTCATCGTTTGTACTGAAATGTCAGCTATAATCCTATAATCCTTTCAGTATTGTCTGTTTTGTCCATTTACTGTTTTTATTATAATGTGCAGTGGAGAGTTTCTTTTCTGGTTCTGTCTGGTGTTCTATATGCTTCTTGTATTTGTATGTATATGTCTTTCTTTAATTTTGGGAAATTTTCTTCCACGATTCTGTTGAAGATCTGGTCCATGTCATTATCTTAGGATTTTTCTCCTTCCTGTATGCCTATGATTTGCAAGTTTCATCTTTTTATGGTGTCACACAATTCCTGCATATTCCATCCTTGTGATTTCTTAAATTTTTCATAATCTTTGCTTGAGTGGTCTAGTTTGTCCACTTTATCTTCCAGTCTTGATACTCTGTTTTCCATTTCATTCATTCTAGTGGTGAGGCTTTTTCCTGTCATTTCTAATTGGCTTACGGAGTGTTTCACTTCCTTCATTTCAGCCTGAGTATTCTTCAATATTTCTAACTCTTTTCTGAATTCATTCAGAAGTTTATCTCTATCTTCCTTCAGTTCTTTGATTTCTTTGTGTGTTCTTTCAATTTACTGAATGTTTTTATCATGTTTATAATTGTTCTTTTGAGTTCCATGTCCTGCATTATCTCTAGGGGGGTTCTCATTGTACTCCTCTAGAGGACTATTGGTATTTGGTGGGGATATGTTATTTTGGTTTCTCATGTTATTATTTTTTCTCTGTGATTTTGAGCTGTGAATTTCTTTTGTAGTTTCTGATTTTTGTGTGAGACTTGAGCCTTCAAATTTAGGCTTGCTTCTTTTTGTGAACTTTATGTGTCTTTGTGGTTTACTTTTTGGGCATGAATAGCTGGTTCATCTAAGCTTCTGGTTCTCTCTTTTGATTTTGTGTTGGAGTGGCCAGATTGCTTTTGTCTTCAGGAGTTCCCACATAGGCCCAAGTCAGATGAGGATCAGATGCTCTCAGGCTTTCTCCTAAGGTCTGGATCCCTCCAGGAAAGATTTTGGCCTCAGGAATTTGGGGGTTGGACTGGCCTGGGAGCCGGGCCCAGGAAAGATGCTGGTCTAGGTCAGTTGGTGGCCGTGCCACCCAGAGATGCAAAGGAAGATGGGGATGGGAAGTGGCCCAAGAGCCCCTGGGGACTGCACTGAAGATCTGGGTTGGTCTGGATACAAAGGATCAGGAAGAGCAAAGGTCAGCCCCGGTGTCCAGAAAAGAGGCTGGCAAGAGGCTGGCTGGTTGTGCAGACACAGGGAAGCAGAAGGAAGTGAGGGCAGGGCCAGGCCCAGAGCTCCCCTGGGGACCAGAGAAAGAACTGAGTTGGTCTGGATACAGAGGATCAGGAAGAAGCAGTGGTGGTTCCCCAGGTGTCTGGGGCGCCAAGAGAAGGAATGGGATAGTACCCAGGGTAGGAGGATAGCCCAGCGGGGGAGATGGGAGGGTGAATGAGGCTGGGGGAATCAAGGCAGGGAGGGCATGGATGGACTTACCCTGGAGAGAGGCCTGCTGGTCGGAGAGAGTCCTGTGGGTCCTGCAGGCCCAGGGAAGCAGAGGCGCTCATGCTGTTTTCATAAAGAAAAGTGAGACCACTTTTCATGATGAAGGACTCCTACATGTCTAAATCTCATCTTCAGTTTTTCTTACCAGAAAACTAGTTTTCTTTCCCTCTCCCTTTTCCTTGGATAATTTCTGGTTTTGACAAGGCTGTACCTTTTGGAACCTCCCTGATTCCTGTGATTCATCGCTTTTGAGATTCATTCCTCTGTATACTCAGTTCAAGAATCCGTGTAGATCCAGTTATGAGGGAATAGAAATGGTGGGGAGGTCCTGAGGGTCTTCTGAAGGAGACTGATAGTGTGATTATCTCTGACCTAACCTTGTGCAGTTTTTTTGTCCTCAGTCATACAGCAAGACAACCCAGACCGTGGCGTACAATTTTAGGAAGGTGCATTTTTAAGTGGGGAAAAAACCTACTTAGGCACATCTTAACACTGCTTCCTCAACTTTCCAAAGCCCACGTGATTGCTGCTTGTTTTTCCCTGGCAATAGCAAAGACACTCAACTACTTTTGCTGTGCTCAGAATCCCCATTTACATTGAAAAAGTCAGTTTGTCATCTCCCTCAGTATTTCCTTGAAGAGACTCCACTCATCTCTACAGGGAGGCGGTGGACGACACACTCCCCTGCTTCATAACAGAAGAGAACTGGCAAACCAAAGAGCAGAGTATTTGTGTCTGTCCTTTCCCTGCCTGCCTACTCTGGTACATCCCTGCACACCTGTGGTTCCTGCAGGGGACTGCACACATAGACTTGAGGCCAGAACATATGCCTTCCAAAACTGCAGGTGGAAGGCAAGAAGGGACCACAGATGTAAGATGTTTTCTTCACTGAAAGTCCTTCATTTGAATGGGTGGTGGGCCATCATTCAGCTGCTAAGTAAAGCTGATATTTGACTCGTGGATCTTGGAGTATGACTCCAGTTGTCAGAACTGTGGGACAGGGACAGCAAGGTGAGTGCTGCATTCTCCAGACTCCTGACAGTGCATGGCTCCTGGAGAACTTAGCTTGAACTCAGCAGGCCAGAAAACAAGCTCCCCTCATTCCTGCTCCCCTGCATTTCCTGTCTTAGAAACTGACCTCAGTCTTCTTGTGGTATTCCAGGCTGAAATTCCAGTTGTGAAATAGGCCCTTGTGAGTTTACTTGTGGACTGGCCTCTCTCCCCATTCCCACACTTTGTCCCTGTAGCTGGCTGTATCCTACATGTCACTCAGGTCTCACCTACTAGTTCTTAAGTGTCCTACAAGAATAGGATGCTGCTATTATCCGCACACTTTTCCCCCACAATCCTGCACTGAAACAAGGCTCTGGTCATTTATCCACCTCTCCCACTCGACTCCCAGATGCTTGTAAGCCGAGGCTGTGCCTTGCTTATCCTTGAATACCCACCAGCAGTAGCTTATCAGTAATAACAACATGGAGGCCTAGGAGTGCCTGAGGGAACAGTACCACGGGAACAAGCTGATCTTTGGAACTTGAGACCTAGGTTCAGATGTTGCTATTTGTATGATCTTGGCTGAGCTCCTTAACTTTAACTTCAATTTCTTCACTGGTAAGATGAGGACAATAATTATTTCATAGGGCTATAATGATAAAATACAATAATCCATGCAAAGCAATTTGAGCAATGTATGACACAGAGTGTTCAGTTTGTCACACAGTCTAATCATAGTAACTGCAACAACCTTAATACAATTATCCTTAACGGAAGGGAGAAGCCCTAAGAAACACATGGAGCATGGAACTAGGCATGGCAAATGCTTAGATAATGAACTTAGATGCAGACAATTGTTTGGGCTAAAGTACAGGACCAAAGGCTGGAGCTATAACTGTGGTAAGACTGCTTGCTTGGCATGGGTGGACCCTTAAGTTCAACCCCAAGCACCCTAAAAAATTGATCAGGCAAGATGACTCAGTGGTTAAAGGTAGTTGCTGCCAAGCCTGACAACCTGAGTTGGATCCATAGGATCCACATAATGTAAGGAGAGAACAGAGTCCCACACAGCATTGTGATGCATGTGTTTGTGCATGAACACACAGATACACACATAAATAAATAAACAAATGAAAAAAGATAAATGCAGGAGCAGATAAGATTATCCTGGGAAAGAATGGACAGGGGAAGAAAACTGGGACAGAAATGAAGACTGAGACCCTTGAGGAAGTCTATATTTTATGGGTAAGAGAAGTCAAAACAGAAAAGGGAGAAAAAGTGATGGCAGGTAGGAGGTTGCAGTTCTCAGATGCAAGATGGAAGTTTGAAAAAGGTTGTCAAGGGTGCTAGGTTAGAAAGAAGGTGCTTGAGGACAATGTCAGAGGCCTCCAGAATCTGCTAATGCTAGTACCCAGGGAACCAGCCTTTCAGTAGAGTCACAGGAAAGAAGGCACGCTCTGCAAGAGGCTAGAGATGGCCATGCTAGGGCCACAGTGGCAGTTGGTGGTACTGCAGTGTGTGTTTTTGTATGGATTGGTCTGCAGCTGAAAGAAGGACTGGTGCCAGTAAAATGTGGAAGTTGCAGGATTTTTTTTTCTCTCAGCGTGTTAATATTTTACATCCCTGGCTAATAACAGCTGAAGGTAACAAGACTTAGAGATATGGGAAGCCATATGTGATATGCCCAGTCACCATATATTAGGCTTGGTTGTTATCCACGTGTCGATGTACTCAATAGTATTCCTCACCAGTCTTTGTGCACTCGTTCATAGATTCAATAGCACTCATAGCATAGTGCTCAGCCTTTCTGATACACTTCCCCTTTAAAGCTATATGACTATATTACTGAAGTATTTCTTTTTTAAAGATTAGTTTATGTGTGTGTCTCTGTGTTTATGTGTGTGCGTGCACTCGTGTGTGTGTGTGTGTGTGTGTGTGCGTGCGTGCGTGCGTGCGTGCGTGCGTGCACGTGTGGCCATGTGCGCACGCAGAGGCCAGAAGAGAGCTAGAGTTACAGGTGGTTGTGAGCCACCTGACATGGATGCTGGGAACTGAACACTGGACCATCTTTTCTGTCCCCAGAATGTTTCTTTATTAGGAACTTAACATTAAAAATTAGAGTGATTTTATGGTATTGACTGTTTATCTTAGTGTGTTCCGGTTAAAGTCTTAAGCCCCTTCCTAACCCTTTCTCCTCTGATAGTCCCTGTTAGTTTTATAGTTTAATTTTGTAAAGTATTATTTTTAAAAGAAATATGTATATCTAAATATATAAGAAATGCTCACAATTCCTTTTCTTAAGTTTGAACTGGAAGGAGATGTGGAAGAGAAGAGTAAGGTTTGTGGAAGCTTTTTGCCAGGGATTTGCAGACTTAACCATGCTTCCCTGCAACTTGGTCTAGATCAGTTTTTCTTGATTATTTTCCTAAGTGTTCCTTGTCATTTGTTTACATGGTTTGTTTTTGTGTTTACACCTTCTTTCTGATCTCTTGTTACAGTCTGAACCAGTGTCTGAAGGTGATTTACATCCTCAGCTGAACAGAGCCCCTTCCCAGGCTGCAGAAAGTAGTCCAGCAAAGAAGGTAAGGCCAGCAAGAGGATGTTGCTATAGTGGCATTATGAACCCCATTCCTGGGCTTCTTACGGGTCCACCATTTTAAAGTTTCCACTGAGATGCATGTGAATGGTCCACAGTTCCTACAATGTGAATGTGTTTTGAAGATCAGAATCCTGAAGATTCCTGGCTCAGCCTTGAATATCCCTGGTAGTTTGTACTCCATTCCTCAGCCTTCCACCCAAACATAACCACCACCTTGCTTTTGGCAAGAAAAACAAATTGTTCTTGGGAGGGCCTGATTACTTAGTAAAACTCCATGTGTGCTCATGGAGCAGGCAGGCATAGGAATAGCTTAGCAGTCTGGGACTCCACTTGCTTTGGGCTATGTACACACCCTTCTCCTAGCAACCTAACATCCTTACCCACATCAAGTTGCACGTGCACCCCATTTCAAACAATGAAATAAATTGCTCCTTCCTTAACCGTTTAGCAGTATTTCTTCTTTTGTAGTTAGTTTCCATTCAAACATGTTTAAGAACATATCCAGGATGACAGGTGGTGGGGATGGGGCCAGTCTGGCCTGAACCAGTTTTGCATTCATGTGCAATAGGGAAAACTGTCTTTTGAGTAAACTTTTAAGGAAACGCCCCTATTTACCAATTATGCCTATGCATAATTGGGCATGAATATGATTAAAATTAGGTACATCATGGGAAAGGACATGCACAGTGAACAAAAGGCTTATATAACTTAAACCTGTCAATGAAAACAGAGAACCACCCACACTATACCCCTTAGCAACCAACTTTTCCTCTTCCTGGACTGCATAAAAGAAATCCCCAAGTAGTAACCTGTTGCTCTTAGACTAAAGTAGTCTGCTATGCTCTTGCAGTGTTTCCCATATTGTCTCTTTAATAAAACTTCTTGCTGCTTTTCCATTCGTGTGCACTTTTTCAGTTCTTAGAATTGAAAGACACCAAGAACCTGTGAACATCTAGCTTAAGCAGCAACCTGGTAATAGTCTGAGTACACTGTGGATTGTTCAGTCTCCCCTTCTTCATACTGTGATTTATTTTTCTCTTGTCTTTTTCCCTTTTTAAAATTACTTTTAAAGATTATAGTGAGTTTCACTAATATTTTCAGATGTGCTTTGTTTCTGTTGATCCTCCTCTCCCTATCCTCCTGATGAGTGCCGTGATTTCTTCTTGCATGCTGGCATCTTTATTGTTGCCTGGCCATGGCATTGAGCCCCGTGCCTTTTGCATAGTTAACACCATTCACTATCGTGCTCTGCATTTTTCTTCTCTTCCACCCTCTTCTTGTTCTGTATCCTCTCCTAGGCCATTCTCTCAGCAAAGAGAGTAGACCTTGAGATAGGAAGATGAGACAGAGTCCTGAAGGAAGCAAGCAACGGTCTCCTACCTGAACATACTGGCTTTTTGGGTTGACTTCATGTACAAATCAGGAGTAGGAGAATGATGAACATAGGACTGTGACCATTACAAACTTAGAAACTTATACTCCAGAAAACCCTAGAGTGAGGCAAAAGTCAATTTTGTTTTCAATTAGAAAAGACCCTGTGGATACTCAAGGTCTATGTGAATTTAAAAGACAAAAAATAGATTGCTTACCACATTAAAAAGATGCAAAAAGAAAAGCCATTAGAATCTTATTTCCATGTCCTTGATGACAAAAAGGGCAGTACATTGCCAGAATATTTGTAATAGAAAGGCAGGCAGGCTGTCTGCTAGACCTGATACCTGCACCCCTCCAGCTATTGCTGAGTCAGGTATGGGCTATGAATAGAGCTGTCTTCTGGTCTTGGGGACAGAGCTAGAGGACTCTGGACAGTGGTATGAGGGATAGAAGGAACATTTAATTTTTAAATTTTCTGAGTATTTTGAGTTTATTTTATTTTTAAACTTTTTTAGTAATTCTTTGAGAATTTTATACAATGTATTTTGATCTCATACCCTGCCTCCCCAACTCTTCCCAGTTCCACCTCCACCTCTCTACCCACCCAACATCATGTTCTCCCCCCACATTGAGTCAAATTTGTGTTACCCAAATACTCTTTGAGTGTGGAACCAGCCCTAGAGCATGGTTGACTTACTCAATATCACACCTGTAGACAAAACTGACTCTCCTTCTCCCACAGCTATCAATTCCCAGTTGCTCCTCAGCTAGAAGTGGATTCATGTTCACCTCCCCACTCCATCCTGGCATTTGTTTGCATTGAGTTTGAGCAGGTCTTCTGGATTTATTTTTAATCCACAGGATGCACCACATGCTCAGCCTCCATCAAAGCCTATTCGTAGGAAATTCAGACCTGAAAATCAGTCTACAGAAAACCAGGAGCCTTCTACTGGTGGGACAGCTTCTGCAGCGACGGTGAAACCTCACCCAACGGTCCACAAGTAAGTTGAGCAAATGAGTGAGAACAAGGTGAGGAAGGTCTTCCATCTGTGTCCAGATGTATTTGTAAATGTGGTGACTTTTACATTCCTGCCCATGGAATGGTTTTATGGTTGTCATAGTTATCTCTAACATCATGATAATGGTGGTGATGGTGGCGAGATTATAGGTTTCCAGTCTCAGTGGAGACCCAAAGGAGAAGGCAAGTCCTAGGCTGGTGTTTGGTTTGGTTTGGTTTCCTCCTATTCCTCTGTCTTTTCTTTCCTTCCTACCCCTTTTTCTTGTACAGGTTCATATTTTCCTAGGAAGAATTTAGTACTGTGAGGGCATTTTTTCCCTCATGACCTGCCTGATTTCAGGTTCCTTCAGGGAAAATGGCTAGCTCTGTGATCTTAGACCCAACTTTTAATAGAAGTGGTATGTGATTTTAAAAAAAGTTCTCAGGAAGAGTTCCCGTCATTGGTCACGGTAGCTTTGAGTGGCACATGCAGAACCTCCATCACATCTGCCACCCCATCTAGAGAAGATATTGGAGAGAATGTGGAGACACTTGTGGACATAACCAAGGGCTAAGACAACAGTGCTGTGGACAAGCCATCCTTCTCTTGAATGCTGTGACTATGAGAAGAACCCTTACTTACCTCAGTCTTTCTTTAGTGACATGAGATGTTGAGGACAAAATCCTACTGCTGTCACTTGACTTCAAGTCAGCCTGACTGGTCACTAATGTAAATGTTCTAGATTCCCTGTGATACTTCTGTATAGACCTTCAGGTCTCAGGGGCTACTATAGATTTTTCTCCTGCTTAGACCACTGTGGAAAGAAAAACAACAGGTTCTGTGGGTGGTGTCAGCAGTTTGCCTTTGAAGTCCCATTTGGAATGCTTGCATCCTCCTTTGGAAGATTTTTTTCACCCAAATGGATAGTTCCCTGGAGTATCAGTCAATAAGAAAGTCTATTTCGTCCATCGTCTTCATTTTCCAAACTTGGAAGATGTATTTCTGTCAGGCATAAAGATGGCTACATTTTTTTCTTTAATTTCAGCTTCATGTTAATTCTATTCAGTCAGCAGTGGTTACATTGTTCTCCAAAGTAGATTGTGGAGCAACTGGTGAAGTTCACACAGAAAGCTCTTGATTTCTTTTTTAAAAAAATCAGCTGGGGCTTGAGAGATGGTTCAGCAGTTAATAGTGCATATTGTTCTTCTGAGTTTGGTTCCCAGCATCCAAACTTACAACTACTTGGAACTCCAGCTCTAGGAGGATCTGATGCCTCTGGCCCCTGCTGCCCCCTGCACTCACATGCATCTACCCTCATACAGACTCTTATACACATAATTAAACATAATAAAAATCAATCTTTTGTAAAAATCAGCTGTATTGAAGTATAATTCACATAGCATACCGTAGCTTTTAGTATATTCACAAAGTCGTGTAACCATTACTACAATATAATTTTAGAACATTTTGTTATTTCCAGAAGAATCTCCATGTCCAGCAGCAGTTGTACCCCACTTCCTCTTCCCAGATCCTGGCAGCCACTAATCCATTCTCTGTCTCTTCTGTGCTTGTTGCCGTTTTACATAAATACAATTGCACAACATGTGGTCTTTTGTGCTTGGCTACTTTGACTTATTGTAGTGTTTGTAAGGGTCATCCACGTTGTAGCATAAATTAGAACTTATTTTTTTTTGTCCTTTTGAGACAGGGTCTCCCTGTAGCCGCAGCTGTCCCGGAACTCACTATGTAGACCAGGCTGGCCTCGAACTCACAGAGATCCTCCTGCCTCTGCCTCCCTAGTGCTGGGATCAAAGGCGTGCGCCACCACTCCCAGCTAGAACTTAATTTTTATGTGCAATAATAGTCCACTTGGACTTTTGGGTTGTTTGAATGTTTTGCCTTTTAAGAACACTGCTTTAGTGTTATTTGTATACATGTTTCTGCATAGATCTGTGTTTTCATTTCTGTTGGGCATACATTTAGGAGTGGAATTGCCGAGTTACATGGTAACTATATTTAACATTTTGAGGAACTTTCCAATTGTTTTTCACAGTGACTGTATCATTTTGTATCCCCAACAATGTATGAGGGTTTTGGTTTCTCCATTTGCTTATCAATACTTACCTAGTTGTTTTTTTTAAAAAAACACAATTGTAGCCATCTTAGTGACTATGAAGTGGTACCTCATTATTATTTTGATTTGCATTTCTTTAATGACTAATCGTTTTGAGCACCTTTTCTTGTGTTTATTGGTTATTTGTATGTATTTTTGGATAAATGTCTAGTCATATCCTTTGCCTACTTTTAATTCTGTTATCTTTTTTTTGAATTATGAGTTCTTCATATGGTCTGCATACAGCTGCGTTGCCAGATACATGATTTGCAAATATTTTCTCTCATTCCTTTGGTTATCTTTTTATTTTCTTGGTGTATAGTGTGCAGCATGAAGTTTTTAATTGTATTGAAACTCAGTTTTCCAGTATTTTTTTCTTTTGCCACTTCAACTTATATTTTTAGTGTCCTATGTAAGAAGTGTGTCTGCTCTAAGGTCACAAAGATTCTTCAATTATAAAAATTTTATAATTTTACATCTGACATTGAGGCCTATGATCTATTTCGAGTTCATTTTGTGTTTGGTGTGAAGATGGGATTCAACTTCATTCTTTGGCATGGGACTGTCTGGTTGCCCTGGCACTGTTGCTTGAAATAGTTTCTCCTTTTTGTCTGTTCCACGAGTGTTCTCCTTCGCTTTCTCTTGTGGTGATAAACATGATTAAAAGCAACTTGGCATCTGGGCTTGGTGGTGCATGCCTTTAATCCCAACACCAGAGGGGAAGAGGCAGGAAGGTCTGTGAATTCAAGGTCAGCCTGGTCTACATGGTGAGTTCTAGGCCAGGAACAGGGAGACCCTGTCTCAAAAAAAAAAAAAAAAAAAAAAAGCAACTTGGGGAGGAAAAGGTTTATTTGGCTTTCAGGTTATAGCCCATCAGGGAAGCCAGGGAAGCAGCTCAAAGCAGGAGCTTAAAGAAGAAACCAATGGAGGAATGCTGCTTACTGGCTTGTTCCCCTGACTTGCTCAGCTGCCTTTATTATATAGCCTCCTGTCTCAATTAGCTATTAAGAAAATGCCCCACAGACATGGCCACAGGACAGTCTGATGGAAGAAATTCTTCAGCTGAGGTTCCTTCTTCCCAGGTGACTCTAGGTTTATCTCCAGTTGGCAGCTGACGCTCACGATGGCAGTGCGTGTCCCTCAGCATGATATTCTGTAGCCAGTGAGGTGGCCATGTCATACCCAGCTGAGAGAATGGTGCCTGCTCCTACAAATCATAGTATAAGCAGTCAGAAATTAAGCTTTGATATGAGAGAATTTCATATAAGTTCTAATTTTAGTTCCTGGACTAGTTTAGTTTGTAGTGATGTGAAGGAACTTATTTACAATTTTTCAAACCCAGGGGCAAGAAACAGTATATACAAAATGGTTGTTCCTCGGTTCTTTTTCAGCCAGAGGTTTGGGAGAGAAAATGGTCTAATGTCCTAAGACATCAGTTGTAGGTAGTAAGTTAACCTCTCTCTCATGCATTTACAGTAGTAGATGCTCTGTAAGATCTTTTGGAAAAATTGAGAGTCACAGTTCTTTTCTATAAGCCTTAATTCTCTAGCAGAACACTGAGAAAAGCTAAAAATAAAATATAGCTATAAAATAGTCGTCAGCGTGCTTTTTTGTAAATTGACAAAAACTGAGCCATTGTCAGAAACAAATTCAGCTTTAGGTATTACCATTGTTCGTTCCATTTAGCACAAAGAAGCTAATAAAAGTTTGTTTCTAAGTAAACTACTGAGTCTGAGTTATGAGTAATAAACATTTCAGAATGTGTCATGAGTAATAAGGACAAATGTGGGTTTTGCGTAGACACGATTTGCCTTATTTCTTTCCCTACATCTTTCTTGTCTATTAAGGACAAACCTTGAAAAATAAGAATTATTCTCACATTTTGGAGATAGAAGGTGTCACATGACAATGCTGTGGTTCTATATCAGCCTCTATAGCCTCTGCTCAGAGCTTGTTCTAGCAGCCACTGTGGCAGGACATGCTTTTCTGCAAGATGATCACAATGTGGTTGTAATTCTTTTCCCTTTCCCTCTTCATGCTTTGCATATTGGGGTGTCTGTGGAATAGATGACGAGAATCCCTGATGAAAATCTCCCATTTCCTGCTACAGAAAAGGCAATACAAGTTTGGTTCTTAGAAACTGTACCCAGAATTCCCTTCAATGAAATCAAGGCCCAAGGAGGTTAAGAAGCTCCCTCCCTCCCTCCCTCCCTCCC